ACCTTAGCAAGCTTCTTAAGCTGTACATGAAGCAGAATCGTCAAATTTACATCTAGAAAATTAAAACAATTTATGTTCCCACTTCCAATATATGGGAGTGCCAGTTTAACCTTATCCTCGTCCATGTGTGGTATTCGTTTAAAAACATTGCCACCCAGATGTTTTTAAAAACTTGATTACCCTAGACACCCAATCCTCACTGTGCTTGAAGGGTACTTTATCTCTGAAATCTTTGAAATTCTATCAGAATCTTTTTGCCTTAAATTTAGCTATAACGTTAAATATATGTTTATTTTTTTCTTTTCCTTCTTTTCCTGCCCCCTTTCTTCATAAGCATAGCTTTCTTCAGTAATTTCTTTGTTTATTGCTTCAGTTTCATTTGTTCTAGAATGTGAACGTCTTGAAAACACATTCCATGTCTCTCTCCTCTATTTTATCGTGGTGGTAGTATACTAGATGCTCAATGCTAAATAAATTTGTCAAAAAAAATACTGTTTTCTTTCTGTACACAGTATTGGTAAGGTTTATCTGCACATTTTTTCTTTCATCTTGTTAATCTATTTTGTCCTTTTGATTTGAGTTGGATAATTCATTTATTGATTTTTTTATATGTTACTAATTTTTGTTTGGTTATATTTCGTCTACTACTTATTGCTTATATTACTGTTTTAAATTTGGCAAATCATGCTTTTCACCTCTGAAATTTTTTTTTTTTTTCTAGACACAGTTTCACTCTTGTTACCCAGGCTGGAGTGCAATGGCGTGATCTCGGCTCACCGCAACCTCCGCCTCCCGGGTTCAGGCAATTCTCCTGCCTCAGCCTCCTGAGCAGCTGGGATAACAGGCACGCGCCACCATGCCCAGCTAATTTTTTGTATTTTTAGTAGAGACGGGGTTTCACCGTGTTGACCAGGATGGTCTCGATCTCTTGACCTCGTGATCCACCCGCCTCGGCCTCCCAAAGTGCTGGGATTACAGGCTTGAGCCACCGCTGAAAATTTTTTAATCTCTGAAATCTTTTCTCAGATTGTTCCGATTTCATTTTTACAGATGCAACATTCACCTAAATTCTTTTAAAATATTAAGCACCTTGGATTTTATCATTTTTGATCAACTTATGCCAGATACGGTGAGACCGTCAAGTTTTTAAATCTCTTTTTCAACTCTAGGGCATTTAAACTTTAGTATTAGTGAGTTTAAAACCCCTTAGGACTGGGAAATAAAAGAAAATGGAGTACCCATTTCTTTCTTCAATCCAGCCACCTCAACACACAATTAAAATGTGGTATTGGTGCTGGACGCAATGGCCCACACCTGTCATCCCAGCACTTTGGGAGGCTGGGGCAGGTGAATCCTGTGAGCCCAGAAGTTTGAGACCAGCCTGGGCAACATGGTGAAACCACGTCTCTACAAAAAGTTAGCCACACACATGGTGGTTTGTGCCTCTGGCCCCAACACTTGGGAGGCTGAGGTGAGAAGACTGCCTGAGCTCAGGAGGATGAGGTTGCATGAGCTGTAACTGTACTCCAGTCTGGGTGACAAGAGCAAGATCCCATCTCAAAAAAAAAAAAAAAATCATGAAATTTTTATTAGTATAAAGTTAGGTTTAAGAGTTTTATTTGCAAAGATTACCATGTGGAAGTAATCTCTAGACATTTTTTACTTCCTGGCCTATATTGTAAGACCGCCCTCCCCCCCTCCAAAGGTGGAGAACTCGATCAGGAAAACAAGCAGAGCTTGAATACACACTGCCATTTTTGAGAGGACCACCAATTCAGAACTTTAAAGAACTGGAGTTATTTCTTTCCTTAATTATGCTTTGGAGTTTTGCCCTTGGGACCGAGATAATGAATGTGAGTTCCTCTTTCCTAGGAGTCCAGTCTAATGCTAGACATACATGGTAATAAGCAGTCGGTGCGACAGACATTGGTGGTTTGAAGGTAAAGTGAAGAGACTCAATTCATGGTTGATGTTTTCCACTGAGGGGCCAGCATGGGTTTATGCAGAATGGAGGACATTTGAGATTTCATTTTGTGGTAATAGGTGCCTGTAACCTGGGATGGGTTAAAAAAAAAATTACAAAGCAACGCTTACGCTCAGGTTCGAAACTTTGAATTTGTACTGCTGCTAATTATGGGTTTTTTCCTAGTAGTAGTTACTTCCCCTATAGAAGGGTGGAAAAATGAAGCTAGTGTATTTACCCAAAAAAGGTGATTTAAAGGAAAATGGGACTAAGCAAAGTAGTGCTTTATAATCTGTCCCAGTTTTTGAGACAAGACTGCTAGAGACTCAATACTTTTCACATTATAATGTGAAATTGATCATTAAAACCTTAAGTAAAAATGGAAGTTTTTGGCCAGGCGCATGGTGGCTTATTTCTGTAATCCAGGCACTTTGGGTGGCTGAGGCAGGTGGATCACTAGAGGTCAGAAGTTCAAGACCAGCCTGGTTACCAACAGGGTGAAACACTGTCTCTACTAAAAATTTAGCCCAGTGTCTTGGCTCATGCTTATAATCCTAGATATTTTTGAGGCCAAGGCGGGAGGATCACTTGAACCCAGGAGGTGGAGATTGCAATGAGCTGACATCATGCCACTGCGCTCCAGCCTGGGAGTCAGACCAGGACTTTGTCTCAAAAACAAACAAACCAAACATACATGATATGTTTCAGCTTGTTGCACTTACTTTCCTTGTCAAAGCTCAAATCGTCCCTTTTTTAGCCTGCGGAGCCACTTTTGCTTGGCTCTTGGGCCTTGCAACAATGCAGTTTATGCTTAGTTTCCATGTTATCTAGCGTGACAAGATGGTCTTGGCTTATCTTGCATATTTCCTGCCCAGCCACTTTTCCAAGAAGAATGTGGACATTTAAAACAAAAAGTTTCAGTGCCCCAGTTGTACCCCAGACCAGCTTAATCAGCATCCCTGGTGGGGATAGGACCCAAATACAGACAGGGTCCCTAGGCTGGAGTGCAGTGCTGGGATCTCAGCTCACGGCAACCCCCGCCTCCTGGGTTCAAGTGATTCTCCTGCCTCAGCGTCCTGAGTAGCTGGGACTACAATTGTGAGGCACCGCTCTCAGCTAATTTTTGTGTTTTTAGTAGAAGTGGGGTTTTGCCATATTGTCCAGGCTCGTCTCCAATTCCTGACCTCAAGTGATCTGCCCGCCTAGGCCTCCCAAAGTGCTGGTATTACAGGCGTGAACCACCACACCCTACCAGGATACAGTGTTTTTTTAAAATGCACACCTAGCCTTGGATGGAAAAGCACTTGAGGAGACTATGCTGCCTTATCGGACTCTGTAAACACCTTATCTCTGCACAAGGCTGGAACTTTGAGTGGAGTCCTTGGCTAAAGGTCTTATTGCTACATGGTGACCTTTCTTCCCCCTCCTGCTTAAAGCTTGTTTCAGAATTTTGAGCGGAATGCATCTGTGTTGAAAGCCAGGCTTGGTCTGTCATCCCAGGACTCTGTGTCGGTCCCTTTCCTTGCCTGTATGTTGAGTTGTGGCTCATCTTCGTGCCTCTGGGAAGTAAGCTGATGGCTTGCTTAGAGGCTCTCAGTACTTTCCCTTGCCCTTAGAATCAATACCAAAATATGTGGCCTGCAGGGTAGGCTATGCATAGCCTTCACTGTAGACTGCTCAGGCCCCCTCTTGGTTCCTGCAGTCTGCCATGCTTCCTTCTGCCACCAGGCCTTTGCACACGCTGTTGCCTGCTGGGAGTGCCTTGCCTTTCCTCGTTACTTACTTCTCCTCTACTCATCTTGCAGGCACCAGCTTGACTGTCTTCCTTTGGGGAAACTTCCCTGACTTTGGTACACCAGATCAGCCCCCATGTGCTGACCTTGTCTCATTGGTAATATTTCTCTACCTTTAGGACACATAGCAAGGCCCAGAAGTTGCAGTTTTGCATTTGTTCCTGTGATCATTTGATGCATGTCTCTCTAGAGCCTGATTCTTTGGGGCTTACGTCCTGTCTCCACCACTTTTAGCTGTGGGACCTTGAACAAATCATTTCATCTCTGGTCCCCAGTTTCTTTTAACTGCAAATCAGGGATGATATAATACTTTTACCTACCTTGTGAAGTGGGGATGAAGATTAAATAGGGTAATTTGTGTAAAGCACTTAGAGCTAATTATTAATACTAGAGAATCTTGGCAGGTATTACTGATGATTACTGCAGTGACCCACAAGCTCCATACAGGCAGGGGTCATTTCTGTTTGTTTAGATTTATACGCAGGGTGCTTGGCATATGGATGGTGCTCAGGAAACATTTGTTGGATGAATGAATCAAGTGGAGATAATAGTAATACCATGTTTATAGAATTCCATGAGGATATAAAATAATGCAAGTATGTAAGTTCCGGGTAGCATGTCTAGCTCATAGTAAGTGGTCAATAAATATTCAATGCCTGAATGAAGAAAATGGGGACAATAGTAATACCAGCTTATGAGGTTGTCATGGGGATCTAAGGTAACTCTGTAGTACCTTGCATTATTTTATATCCTCATGGAATTCAAGTATATAAGTTCTGGGTAGCATGTCTAGCTCATAGTAAGTGGTCAATAAATATTCAATGCCTGAATGAGGAAAACGGGGTTGTCATGGGGATCTAAGGTAACTCTGTAGTACCTTGTAGAGTGCCTAGCACATAGTAGGTGCTAAGAAAATATTTGTTGAATGAATGAGTGAAGTGGGGATGATGTTAACACCAGCTCCTAGGGTTGCTGCAGGGATAGAAGATAAGGCAGGTCGATAGCTTGTTGTGGTTGTGCCTGGTAGACACTCTGTTGAGTGAAACGAGAGGAGCTGCTATGAGTTTCTTTCTCCTGGGGCTTGGGAGAGAATCCTTTTGGGGCGTAGAATGGTGTGGAGCGGATACTGGTCCTCTTGAAGGATGAATGGGCAGCTGACTACTCCTTGCCAAGCTGTGGCCTGGATGAAAAGTTGCATTGTTCCTTTTCCTCTTCCTCCCTAACCTGTTCTTTGTTTCCTCTAGAATCCTTGCTCAGAGTCCAGCGCCTCCTTCCTGTCCAGGATCACCTTCTGGTGGATCACAGGGTAAGGCTGGGTCGCTGAGACCTCGGGGAGGTGGTGGGGAATTAATGAATCAATGAATGAACATGCTCAGCTCCCTGCTTGACTTCCCTCTCCTTGGCTCTTCTGCAGAGTTGTCTTGAATCTGCCTGTGCTGGCCATGTGGTCTCAGACACCAACTGTATCCCCCAAGTCCATCACCTTGAATGTGATAAACACATGAGCCACGAGCAGCTTAAATCTCTGCAGAAGGCTTGGTCTGGGAAAGCTATACACTGGACTGCTCTTGCTTTAGCTTCAGATTTGGGTTATATTTATATATTTTATTTGTTGCCTAGACATCATGTTCAACCTGACAGATTTGGGTTTTTTTAATATTAGGTATAGTTATTGTTGACATTGTTCCCCTCCCATCCCCCACTCCTTAGAAAAATAATACTGTCTCACCTAGGAAATATGGGTTTAAAAATCACATGTGCAGGTCAGTAGTAAGGAAACACGCAGAAGCAACCATTGTCACTGTTTTAGTATGTCTCCTTCTGGTTTTCTTTTCTTTTTGAGATGGAGTCTCACTCTGTCTGTCTCCCAGGCTGGAGTCGAGTGGCGCGATCTCAGCTCACTACAACCTCTTCCTCCTGGGTTCAAGTGGTTCTCCTGCTTAAGTCTCCCAGGTAGCTAGGATTACAGGCATGCACCATCATTGCTGGATAATTTTTGTATTTATAGTAGAGACAGGGTTTTGCCATGTTGGCCAGGCTGGTCTTGAACTCCTGACCTCGGGTGATCCACCCACATTGGCCTCTCAAAGTGCTGGAATTACAGGTATGAGTCACCGTGCCCAGCCACATTATGGTTTTCTTTTTGTACATCTTTTTCTGCCCATTGTCAACATCTTATTGGGGATTATTTGAAGAATCTTTCTTTCACCCTAATATGCATCATCTTTTTGTTTTTTTGGAGACAGGCTTTCGCTCTGTCACTGAGGCTGGAGTGCAGTGGCACAATCGTGGCTCACTGTTGATCTACCAGGTTCAGGTGTTGCTCCTGCCTCAGCCTCCCGAATAGCTAGGACTATAGTCTTACTCCACCATGCCCAACAGATATTTGTATTTTTGGCAGAGACGGGGTTTCACCCTGTTGGCCACGCTGGTCTCGAACTCCTGGCCTCAACTGATCTGCCCGCCTTGACCTCAAAAGTGCTGGGATTACAGATATGAGCGACCGTGCCCAACTGCCATCTGCTCAGTTATTAAAGCCCCCTGTGATTCACTTGCAACCGAGACTGAGAATCCCTGGCGCAGATTGCTTCCCCACATCCAGGAATGATCTGCAGCCCCCGCTTCCCTTCCAAGCGTGTCTATGTCTCCTTTCTGTGAGACCCTGCATTTTTGAGTTTTGCTTTTATTCATGTTACTTTAGCCTGTTCCCACAGTCTCCCTGACCATGCTGCCAGCTGCATATTTATTCCTTTTGTATCTTGCTTCCTGGGTCCTCTCTCCCACCTCTTCTGGGGTTAGCCCTTTGGTGCCTAAAATTGTGCTGCTGGCTCAGGCCAAACGGCACAGGTACTTGGTGAAACAGACGTAAGTTTAAATAACCACTCGATCAGGTGGAAGAAAGGATATCAGAGATTAAAGATCAACTCAACAAAATAAAGCAAGAATGTGAGCTTAGAGAAAAAAAGACTGAAAAGAAATGAACAAAGCCTCTAAGAAATATAGGATTATGTGAAAAGCCCAAATCTGTGTTTAATCAGTGTAACAAAGTGAGAGGGAGAGTAAAAACGTAGTTGGAAAACACTCTTCAGAATATTACCTAGGAGTTATTTAAACTAGCAAGGCAGGCCAACATTCAAATTCAGGAAATACAGAGAACACAGCAAAAATAAACTTCCAGAAGAGCAACCCCAACGCACATAATCGTAAAGATTCACCAGGGTTGCAATGAAGGAAAAAATGCTAAAGGCAGCTAGAGAGAAACGTCAGGTTACCCACAAGGGGAAGCACATCAGACTCACAGCAGATCTCTCAGCAGAAACCCTACAAGCCAGAAGAGAGTGGGGGCCAATATTTAACATCCTTAAAGAAAAGAATTTGCAACCCAGAGTTTCATGTTCAGCCAAACTAAGCTTCATAAGCGAAGAAAAAATAGAATCCTTTATAGATCAGCAACTGCTGAGAGATTTCATCATCACCAGGCCTGCCTTACAAAAGCTGTTGAAGGAACAGCTAAACATGTTAAGAAACAACCACTACCAGCCACTGGAGAAACATACCAAATTGCGAAGGCCATAGACACTGAAGAAACTTCATCAACTACTGGGCAAAGCAACGAAATAGCATCAAAATGGTAGCCTCAAATTCACACATAACACTATTAACCTTAAATCTACCCATCTGACGAAGGGCTAATATCCAGGATCTAGAAAGAAATTAAACAAATTTACAAGAAATAACAACCCAATCAAAAAGCAGGCAAAGGATATGAACAGACCCTTCTTAAAAGAAGACATTTGTGCAGCCAACAAACATGAAAAAAAGCTGATCATCACTGGTCATTAGAGAAATTCAAATGAAAATCACATTGAGATACCATCTCATGCCAGTAAGAATAGCGATCATTAAAAAATCAGGAGACAACATGATAGAAAGAATGTGGAGAAATAGGAACACATTTACACTGTTGGCAGGAGTTTAAGTTAGTTTAGCCACTGTGGAAGACGGTGTGGCAATTCCTAAAGGATATAGAACTAGAAATACCATTTAACTTAGCTATTCCACTACTGAATATATACCCAAAGGATTATTGATCACTCTATTATAAAGACACATACACACAAATGTTTATGGCAGCACTGTTTATAATAGCAAAGACCTGGAACCAATCCAAATGCCCATCAATGATAGACTGAATACAGAAAATGTGGCACATATACACCAGGGAATACTATGCAGCCATAAAAAAGGATGGGTTGATGTTCATTGCAGGGACATGGATGAAACTGGAAACTGTCATTCTTAGAAAACTGACACAAGAAAAGAAAACCAAACACTGCATGTTCTCACTCCTAAGTGGGTGTTAAACAATAAAAACACAGGGAGGGGAACATCACACACCAGGGCCTGTCGGGAATAAGTGAGGGATAGCAGGGGTAGAGGGATAACATTGGGAGAAATACCTAATGTAGATGACAGGGGAATGGATGCAGCAAATCACCGTAGCACATGTAAACCTATGTAACAAACCTGCACGTTCTGCATATGTACCCCTGAACTCAATATGATTTTTAAAAATAAATAAATCAGATGCAGTTTTGTTATGCTTCCCAGGTGGTTCTCAGACTCCTGGACTCAAGCAACCTCAAACTCCCAAGTAGTTGGGACTATAGGTGTATATCACCACACCCAGGTATTTTTTCTACAATTTTTTTTAGTCTCACTACAGAACCAATAATATAATAGAGGAACAATCTCTCCTACCAAGTATATAATACCCAAATAATAAGGGTCCAAGTAAAACAGCTGTATGTTATTTGTTGTACAGTTTTTCAACTAAAAGGTACCAGGGAGATTCCGTGATTACAACATGTAATTTGATCCACTGAAGATTTATACTGGCAAAAATATACATGTTACATTAGTATGATTAAAAAGTCAAGGTATTAGTATTTATTTAAGTAAACCTTAACCAAATTTTATATATTCTCTCTATCGGGGAAAGCATTTCCTAATGTGATTTTTCTGTTGCTATGTATTTTCCAGTTAATTTTTGCTGAGCCCCCGCCATGTCACAGTTCTTATCATCTTTTGTTACCAGCGTCAAGTAAAATTTTTAATCAACTAGCCATAAGTCTATGGTTTTCTCTGACCAGCTGTACATAACCATCATAAAACAGTAATAGGTAAACCTCTGCCAAATTTTAAAAGTAAACACTTTGTAAAAGTTGACTGAGCGAGAAAATTTTACAAGAGACCACTTTACCTTGGTAGTAACAGTCAAGTCTTCATCATCGGGTTTCAGACAGGAGTCCACACACAGTTCATGGAAAATGCTTTAGAGAAAAAATATGCAATATGAATGAGCACGTTTATTTTTATCTTTTATTTTTTACAAACTTTTTACCTGCCAGTTCATATTCAGCTTTCCCCTTCAAAAAACAAAAACACAACCTGGGAAAAGGTCAGCAATGTGTATATTAAATAACATTTCTTGATACAATTAAAATATGGCCTCTGTTCTAAACATAGATTTTGGTTACCTCTTTCTGCCTCCAGCTGTCTAAATCTGTAAAATATTCATTGAAAACTAACTTTGAGCTCCATAACAAATCGTGACACCCAATATATTGGCAGAGCTTGACAATAATTTACCCTCACAAATTACCTGTCCTGAAGCAGAACATGAAATTCAATTAATGGATGACCTAACTTTCGTCACCTAAACTGGAAGGAACCCTATTACCTAAAACAAGGTAGAAAGATCCACTGTCTCTTGTACAGTATCTATATGTGGTTAAAAGACTAATGTGTATCACTTCAAAATTGCACTCTTGATTCTTCAGCATGAAAACCACTTAAGGTCCCAATGCTTTCCTTTATCCTAAGAGTACAGAGAATCCCCTACTATATTTGAAATGTGTGAGAGCTAAATGTACAAAAATCTAATAATGAAAGGGTATTTTCTTATTGAGGATACTTTTCCCAGGAAGATTAAAACATTAACAATTATAAAAATCCAATTATTTTCACTCCATAGCTTCTACCTTATTCAGGACCTCATAAACTAGTAAGCCCTTAAAACCTTCATAAGCACTCAGATATCAATGAGAGAGATTGTTGGAAAAACAGAGTCCTGGCAGTTGTACCTCTGTTTCCGTAAGTACTATATAAATACCTTTCTTCCTGTGGAGTCGCACTTCCAGATTCCACTTATGTAGGGCTCCATGGCAGTTTCCAGTCTTCTAATCTTCAGTGTATGAAAGCACAGATTCCTGTGAAGATGGCCTAAAATGGCTAGGAGTAGGAGCGCTCTATATCCCTGCTCTTGAATAACAGCCTAACTGGAGTCTCTACTACCAGGACAGACACACCTCCAGCTACCCAGCTGAACTTCATTACTGAGTTGACAGCCTGTGCTGCCCCTGACCCAGTCTATGCGAATATGGGAAGGACATCAGAGTTCCTTGATCCACTCATGCAAGACTTAAAACACATCAAATAAACCATATAGAATAAGCTTTTAGTATCAAAATATTTATCAAAAGAGAAAACATTGAATTGCCACAATCTTGATAGAAAAGAATAAACTTTTATATTTCAAGATCAGTGCAGTATTCTTAGAAAATGATAAATTTGGTATTCACAGAATAAACTTTATAACACAACTGCTTCTAAAATTAGCAAATCAGCTATCATATCAAATAACTGCCTGACACCCCCCCCAAATTAGCCAAAATGCAACTTAATCACATCTTATTCACTCATTTCAAAGAAACTTCTAAACATTAGACATAACACCATAAAAACCCTAGGAGAAAACCTAGGCCAGTACCATTCAGGACAGAGGCATAGGCAAGAACTTCATGACTAAAACATCAAAAGCAGTGGCAACAAAA